TCACGCACATTTCTTGGGAATTCATTAGATCTGATCACCTCTTATTTTCTCTTTAAGGGACAGAGAGTGAGAAGATCCTCTTTAGTTGTTATGTCTTTAAAAACATGCATGCAAAAACAACCCAGTGTTGAATCTTTCTTTAATCAAGTTTTAAAATTGGTTGAACTCCAACGTAAATTTTGTACATGGAACCAATCATGAGTTTCAGGTGATAGTCTGGAAACTGCTATCCATGAGGCCATTAGACACAGGAGCAGAAGAAAATCATTTGGCCCATCAAGTCCACTCCTCTGTTTGATAGGATCATGGCTGACCTAATAACCCTCAACTCTACTTTCCTAACTACCCACATAACCCGTGATTCCCTCACTGATTAGAAATCTCTCTATCTCAGCCTTGCATGTTCTAAGCGACCTAGCCTTGACAAATCTCTGTGGTAAAGATTTACATAAATTCATTAATCTGACATTATGCCCTTTGATCCTATATTCTCCCACAATGGGCAATGACCCCTCTCATCTACCCTGTCAAGCACCCTACCCCCCCAAAAAAAAATAAATCTTGTATGTTTCGGTAGGGTTTCCTCTCATTCTCTAAACTCCATTGAGTTCAATCCAACCTATTCAACCTCTCTTTATCAGAAAATCCCTTCCCATTCAGATCAACCTAATGAAACTTCTCAGGACTGCCTCCAAGCCAGGGTAATTTTCCTTCGCTAAGGGGACCAAAACTTTTCACAGTATTCCAGTTGTGGACTAACTAATGCCTTGTATACCTTTGGAAAGATCTCCCTATTTTTATACTTAATTTCCTTTCAAATAAAGGTTGACATTTAATTTGCCTTTCCTATTACCTGCTGAACATGGGATGCCAGCATTTGTGATTCATACACAAGGACCCTCAGATCTTCTGTGCTGCAGCTTTCCGCAGTCTTTCCCCATTTCAATAATATTCAACTCTTCTATTCTTCCTGCCAAAGTGTTTAACCTCACGTTTTCCCACATTATATTCCATCAGCCAAGTTTTAGCCCATTCATTTAATCTATATATAGCCTTCTGCAGACTCCTTGTGTCATTCTCACCACTTACCTTCTATGCACTATGAGACCTTTGCAGTCTTGTGCCACACGCAGAGCTCAGACTAAGAAAAAAATTAGAGATCCCCTACTATGCCCTGTACAAATCTGAGTGCCAGAAGATGACCAGTTCCCCAGAAACAAATCACAGCCACTGCGGTGAACTCGCATGCCTCTACATTTGAAAACAGGTGAAGTATTCCAGATGTTCTAGAGACACAGATTCAGGGGCCTGCCTTCAGTATGATCAGTGGTAGAGTGACATCACAAACCACAAGATGAAGCAAGTGCAAGAGATGATGGGTTATAGTACAGGATACTAAAGGAAGTAGGTACAGAGATTCTGGAGAAGTCCCAAAGACTTTGAAAACTGTCAATATACCACGTTTGAACAAAAAGGGAAGGAGGCACAAAAGGAAACTGTAGGTCAGTTAGCTCAATGTCTGTCATTGGAAAAATATTAGTCTATTATAAAGGTGTAATAGCAGAACATTTAGAAACACAATATCATCAGTCAGAGTTAGCATGGCCTCATGAAAGGAAAATCTGCATGACATCTATTAGAGCTGTTTGAGCGGATAACAAGCAGGGTCAATAAAGAGAAACCAATAGATGTAGTATATTTAGATTTCTAAAAGACACTTGATAAGGTACCGTACATTAGGCTACTTAATAACACAACAGTGTATGCTGTTCAGGGTAATGTATTAGCATAGGTAACGGATTGGCTAACTCAGAAATTGGGATAAGGGGGCCACTTTCAGGATGGCAACCTATAACTGGTGATATGCCCCCGGTACTGGGGCCGCATTATTTACGATATTTATTAATGATTTAAATGACAGAAGTGAATGTACTATCATCATGTTTGTGGATGACAAAAATAAGTGGGAAGGTAAGTGGTCATCCACAACCCGAGCTACAAATCTTCTCAAAAACTTTAAATGCGGACTTTGTTGCGCTTTGCAGAAATTATCCTGATTTCCCCACTTTTATCAATTACCACTGAACTGTAAGCATTAGAAAATAAAATTATGGACTTCTGTCATGTATTGAAAGTTGATGTTAAACTTGTCAACCAGTTTCAAACAAAAGATCTTCAGCACTGCTTGTTTAAATTCTTACTTTACAAACTCACTAATGCCTACTGTGAGCTAATCTTCCAAGCTGATGTCAGGTGGTTCAAGTTTAGGGAAGGTCCTGCAAAGAGTTTTTGATCTGATGCCTGAAACCATGACTTCGACTTAAATCATGGAATGAGCAGCATGATGATCGACAAGCGTGCACAGCTTACAGGGAATACGAGTGACTGAGGGTTTAAGGGTGACTGAGACTGAGATCAACTGCGAAGGACTCTGCAATCAACAAATTGATCACAATCTATGGTTTGGAGACTGGAGATAGATGCAACAGGTTACCACATGAGATTGTTGGAGGCTGAAGACAGGCTTCAGAGTGGAAATTGAAGTGGCAGTCCAGAAGAGGACAGGGTAACACCTGCAGGCACAATCGAAATGTGAACTCCGGAAATGTAACTTGAATTATTCCAAAATATATATTTTTGGCTGTCCAAGTGGCTCAGAGAGTTAGAACATTCTATGTCTGTACTCGTTGAGGTGTTTGTAAGACATTACAATACGTACGTCACTTGGCCAGAGCCGGAGGAGAAAAGAAGACATGGAAGTCGTGAATTTATTTGCAAGAAAATTAGATAAAATAGAAAGATCCTCAGCAGTAACAGCTGGATTAACAAATTGACTGTACAAAACTGAAGCGGGTACTTGAGTTTTGAAATGCTTAATTTTTGTGATTTTTCAAGTAGGACTGTGTTTGTAAAATACTGCAAAGAAAGGGAAAATATTGAATTTTCTGACAATAAATGCCTGGGTTGTATATGTATATAATTTTGAGTTTCTTCATCTTGTCCTTGGGGAACAAATAGTGAAATTTGCCAGGTTCAGACCCAACAAGTCAGTACAGCTAAAACATATAGCCAGGTTGTCTGAAATGCTCCAATTTTTCTTTTTGATTCTGGTCCCATTGATTTCATTAGCTACTTTTTCCGTGACACTTCATCACAGCCACAAACTGCCCTTTCAATGACTCCCCATCCCCACGCAAAAAAAAAGCTGTTACTGGCTGCAGTGATCTTTTACTCTTGCGCATTTAATTGAGAAACAGACTCGTATTTCTTTGGTAAGTCAATCTTTTGGACCAAACCCAGCTGTCAGCTGTGACTCCCTCTGAGTCAGAAGGTTGTGGCTTCAAGCCTCGTTCCAGCGTTGAGGAAGGTACTTGAATCGAGACAGACATTTCATTGCAGTACTGAGGGATAGCACTAGTGAAAAATAGCTGCACTGTCAGAAATGCTGTCAGATAGTCTCTTAATGTAAGGCTGTCATTTGTCTTGGGTGGATATCCTTTGTGTCTCCTGGAACAAGTGCAGGGAGTTAATCCCAGATGCCCTAACCAAATATTTATCCCTCTACCAACATCACTAAGGCAGGTCATAACATGGCATTAGTTTAAGCTTCCTTTGTACTTTTGGTTCCAAGAGTATCTGCACTTGAAAAGTACTTCGTTAGAATCATAGATTCCCTACAGTGTGGAAACAGGCCCTTCGGCCCAACAAGCCCACACCGAACCTCGGAGCACCCACCCAGACTCATCACCCTATAACCCACCTAATCTACACATTCCTATGGGCACTTTAGCATGGCCAATTTACCTAACCTGCACATCTTTGGACTGTGGGAGGAAACGCTGGAAGGCATTTTGGGGAATCCTGAAGTGGCGGAAGGTGAGATATAAGCGCAATTCCTTTTTTGTTGGGCTTCACCGATGCACCAAAATCATTATGGAATACTTTTTGTCACCTGCTGCAGAACAGTGCTTTTATATGTTCAATTACTGTTGCTGTGGCTCACCTCGTGTTGAACATAAATTCAGCTTCCTTTATTTTGTTGACTGGACAGAACATGGGCCCTTTCATGATTTCTCATATTTCAAGAATTTAGGACAAAGTAAACTGTTTCCAGCCCTTTGGATGCACTATGAGACCTTTGCAGTCCTGTGCCATCACTATGCAACCAGGACTTCTTAAGCTAAAGGTGGCCTCATAATTAGTCCCAAGGTAACTCAGCTGCTTTCACTTTACATGCTGCGAGCCTGTAGATCAGAAGCAGAAGTAGGCCATTCAGCTGTTCAAGTCTGCTCCTCTATCCAATAAGATTGTGACTGCTCTGTTTGTGTTCCAATTTCCACATTTTCCTCTATCCCTGATAACTTTTCATTCCCTTGCCTAACAAGAATCCATCTGCCTCCACCTTAAAAAAAAAAAAAAAAGACCCTGTTTCAATTGGCATCTGAGGCAGTGTTCCAAAGTTGCAAAGCCCATAATTCCCCTCATCTCTATCAT